TTCCAGGTCTCCCAGATGGCTGCAGGGCCCCAAGGACTTGGGAAATCTTCTACTGCTTTCTCAGGCCATGGCAGAGAGCTGGATCTGGAGCCCATATGGGATGCCGGCGCCACTGGTGGAGGCTTAGCCTACTACGCCACAGCGCCAGCCCCAGTTCTTCATCTTTAAGATGATTTAGTTGCAGTATTACATACATTTTTAGTTCACGATGTTTTTTTGTTTTTTTTTTGTTTTTTTTTTTTTTTTTTTTGACAGGCAGAGTGGACAGTGAGAGAGAGAGACAGAGAGAAAGATCTTCCTTTGCCGTTGGTTCACCCTCCAATGGCCGCCGTGGCTGGCGCGCTGCGGCCGGCGCACCGCGCTGATCCGATGGCAGGAGCCAGGAGCCAGGTGCTTTTCCTGGTCTCCCATGGGGTGCAGGGCCCAAGCACCTGGGCCATCCTCCACTGCACTCCCTGGCCACAGCAGAGGGCTGGCCTGGAAGAGGGGCAACCGGGACAGAATCCGGCGCCCCGACCGGGACTAGAACCCGGTGTGCCGGCGCCGCTAGGCGGAGGATTAGCCTAGTGAGCCGCGGCGCCGGCCAGTTCACGATGTTTTTGACTTCCCACGGGTCTGTTAGGCTGTAAGCCCACCCTACACTGAGGAGCATCTGTAAGTGCACATTATCTCACCGAGTCGTCTCAAGACCCCCGAACAGAGCTCACTGTTCCTGTTTCCCAAACTCAGGAAGTAAGGCGCAGCCATTAGGTAGCCGAGACCCTTGCCTAAGTGGCAGATGAGGCTGTGCGCGCAGGCAGCTGGGCCGCGAATCGCCGATCTGAGAGCTGCACACGACGCTGCAAAGGATGGGTCCCAAACACCCACGAGCTGGCAGTGCACAGAGCTGCGGCCACCAATAGTGAGGCTTTCCATCTGGGAGCGTGGGAGGGGGAGGGGTGAGAGGTCCCCCAGATTCCTGCCACGCTTGCTGCCTGGGCTGGGGAAGCGGCTCTGGTCTGCCGCGGAGCCACCGGGCGCGGCACTTTCTGTGTCTTGCCCTGCCAGGCACCGCACACCCTCCTGTGCTGCATTCTTGCTTCTCACCACGTCTGCCTCCAGTGACCCAGCCCTGCATCAGTAAGCAGAAAGGTCGTGTTTTCTTTTTCCCTGTTTAGCGTTCCTGCTTCAGACCTGAATACGAACAGCAACGAGCTCCTTGAGCGTCTTGGGTTTTAGGGAAATTCAATTCAATTGAAAAAATATGCAGTGAGTTTCTACTTGGAGCCTGACTATGTGGCCTGGGATCATAACAATAAATGAGAAACAGACTCTGCCCTAAAAAAATGGAGGCCATATTAAAAAAAAAATTCGGGGGTCTTGAGACGACTCAAAAAGACACCGCCACTTATCGCTAAACTGCCCTGTTCTGGGTTAGGTAAAGGATTTCTTGAAGGCCTGAGTTCCCTCAGTTTCTAAACTTCTCCAGTGGCTCCTACGAACCCCAGGCAGTCTCACTACTCTAGAACGCGGCTGGCATGGACAACAGCCCCCCCCACCCCCAAGAGTAAATCAGGCTTTTCAAGTGGGCCCAAACAAGGGCTTCCTCTGTCACCACCCCCACCCGAGGGAGCTGATTTGTCCCCTGCCTTGTTCACCTGCAGGAATTCTGCTTGTCTGTTATCACCTCCAGGCCACAGCCATCCTCTGGACTGTTCTTTATCCACAGCTGTTTCATTTTTAAAAGTTGTTAATTATTTGAAAAGCAGAGAGAGACAGAGAGATCTTCTATCACTGATTCATTCCCCAAATGCCTTTTGCAGGGCTGGGCTAGGCCAAAGCCAGGAGCCAGAAACTTCCATCCGAGTCTCCAAGGCGGGTGGCAGCGACCCCAGTACCTGTGCTGTCACCTCCTGTCTCCCAGGGTCTGCATTAGTAGGAAGCTGGAAATGGAAGCAGAGCTGGGACTTGAACTCAAGCACTCAGATACGGGACACTGGTATTTTAGGTAGTTTTGTTTTGTTTTGTTTTTTGACAGGCAGAGTTAGACAGTGAGAGAGAGAGACAGAAAGGTCTTCCTTCTGTTGGTTCACCCCACAAATGGCCGCTATGGCTAGCGTGCTGCACTGATCCGAAGCCAGGAGCCAGGTGCTTCTTCCTGGTCTCCCATGTGGGTGTAGGACCCAAGCACTTGGGCCATCCTCCACTGCCTTTCCAGGCTACAGCAGAGAGCTGGACTGGAAGAAGAACAACCGGGACAGAACCAGCACCCTAACCGGGACTAGAACCTGGAGTACCGGCACTGCAGGCGGAGGATTAGCCTAGTGAGCCACGATGTACCAAATGCAGTAGCCTTAGGCAGCCATGTTGTTACCACATGATTCGCCTCCTGAGCACAGCTGACTGGTTTTGAGTGATCACCTGACCCAGGGGTACCCATCCATTGGCTTCTTCCTCCTTGAGATTCCAACCTGAAAGTTCAGAGGCGCAGTGAGGATGGTGGGCCCTCTGCCCCAGGAGGTCTTTGTGCCCCTGAGGTAGGTGTCAGGATGGCCCGAGGATGCGGGTAAGAGAGCATCCAGGAGGCACTGCCTCAACTGCAGGGGAGGACAGGAGGCGGCTCAGAGCTGGAATTGAACGCCACGAACGCCACTCCTGTCCTTGGATGTCTGGTACCTTTCAGTCCACCTTGCAGCGAACTCCCAGTTCACTGGAGCAAGTCTGACATGGTCTCATTTAGCTTCTTGCAACCAGCCAGTGACTGGAGCCTCCAACTGTTTCACCCACACCATGGTTCTCACATCCTGCCTGTCCTCAAAACGCCGCGCTGTCCTTTTGGCCCCCTCCCTCTCCCCTGGACTTCCCCTGGGCCTCTGGGCCCAGCGCAGGGCCTCGCACTCCGAGGCGACGTTCACCTCCAGACGCCACTGCCTGGCTCCCCAGCCCTTCCCCATCGGGCCGAGCATCTAACCTCATTCCCCACTACTCCTCACTCCACACCCTCCAGTGTGGTTAAACCAGTCTCTCCAAGACATCCGGCTGTGTCTCGGGGCCTTTGCTCACGCTGGAACGCCCTCCTTCCTCTTCTGCCCCGCTTTGTCCTTCGAATACCAGCCCCTCCTTCTCATTCGTTTCTCAGGCCCTGAAGACCCACTATGCACCACCCACGGTGCCCAGGCCTGGGTTACAAAACCCAGGCACCGCCACCTTGCCGGTGGCCGGGACCTTCTGCGAGAACCTCTCTGGTGTTGGTCTTGCCCACCCCACCGCCTCCTGCCACCTGGATTGTCCTCATCTCCGGGGCTGGACCCCCGAGTTGTACTTTTGAGAATTTAAATTTCCATGGTGGAGCCCTGGGGACGCGCTGGGCACCTCAAAAATAACTCTTCGCCGCCTGCCTGCCCCGCTGACAGTGTCTCCCGCCCGGCGAAACGCAAGGACAGAGAAGCGCTTGTCTGCCTTCGCAGGCCCTGGGATAAACACTCAGCCTGGGTTTCAGCTGATCCCAGTAACCCCGGCCATGAAGCTCCATCTAAATCCAGGGGGGAGATGAACAAATAGAGGTTTCGTTTGTTCTGTGTAGTCCCGGCCGCTCCGGGGGAGGCCTCCCCGGCCCGCCTCGCCACAGACCCACGCTCAACAAACAAGGCAGCCACCTCCGGGTCCCCTCCCTTGTCCCCAGCCCTCTGAAAGACACCTTTCAGCGCCGTGCCTGTCCTGGGTGGCGGCGGGCAGGACCCGGGGCCCCCCGATTTCATTCTCTCCCCAGAGGGTGAAGCCCGGTGCCTCAGCCCGGCCAGACCTCACCACAGAATTCCTCTGCACCGAGAAAGTGCGCTCTGGAAACACAAAGTCGCCCTTTCAACTCGGGAAGCAGAAAGAAAATCCTCCCCACCACCCAACCCCAAACCTGCGCTTGGCCCGGCGCCCGAGGTGGCTGGCAGGTTCCCAGTGAATCACTTCCCGCTGGCCCGTGATTGCATCAGCGCGGCCCAGTGAGGCCGGCGGGAGCTTCCTGGTCCCCTGAAGACGCCTCCCGCCGCCTGTGTGCCCGATTCTGCCTCCCTCTTCCCTTGTGAGCCCGGCTCTTTTAACTAACCCGGGCCAGGCCACGAACTGGGTTCAACCCAGCTGGCTGAGTCTGGAGACTGATAGTTCTGGAAAGTTCTCTGGCAGTTCTGAGGCAGGAGCTGTTGTACCCATTAGGGGCTGTGCCTCCGAAATCGAAAACTGGCTCCCTCCCTCTGTCCCCCACGAAACCTTACACATGAAGTCGCCGCTTGCAACTGTCCAAAGCCGAGCCCAGTGATAACAACTGTCACTTAAAAATATTTTTTTTGTTGTTTATTTGTAAGGCAGAGCCACAGAGAGGGACAGACAGAGACAGAAAGACCTTTCATCTAGCAGTTCACTCTCCAAATGAAGGCAACAGTGGGGGCTGGGCCAGGTAGAAGACGCAGACTCTGTGTCTCCCCCGTGGAGGTAGGTGCTATGATTAGCCCCATTTCACAGATATGGCAACTGAGGCCCAAAGAAATTAGGTGGTGGCTTGCATTGTGGTGCAGTGGGTTAAGTCACTGCTTACAACACCGGCATCCCATATGAGCACTGGTTCAAGTCCCAGCTGCTCCACTTCCAATTCAGCTCCCTGCAAATGCACCAGGGAAGGCAGCAAAAGATGGCCAAGTATTTGGGCCCCTGGCATCTGCATGGGAGGCCCATATGGGTGATGGCTTTGGCATGGCCCTACTTCAGCCATTGTGGTCATTTGGGGAGTGAATCAGTCAATGGAAGATCTCTCTCTGTCTTTCCTTGTCTCCCTGCAACTCTGTCTTTCAAATAAGTCAAATCTCTTAAAAAAGAAAGAACAAAGTTCGGTGGCTGGTGCATAGCAGGCGAGCGGCTAAGCAGGCGCTCAGAAGAAGCCAGCTGCTGCCTCCACACCGTCTCCCTCCTTCTCCCCTTTCTAAGGTCTCCCATCCTCTAAGGACGGAGCAGGATCCTACCCCTCCCAGACTTACCTGCAGCCCCCTCGGAGCTCTGCCGCGTCCGACTCCGTTCACTCTGTCTGTCAGCACCTGCCAGGCCATCCTGAAACGCTCACTCACTCACACACCGCATTAAACACCTGTGTGTGCCAGGCCCTGTGCCAGGAGACGCAAGCGTGAACACAGCAGACAAACGGCCTTGCCTTTGTGAGCTTTGCGTTCTGGTGGAGGGAGACAGAGGCGAAAGGATATAAATACACAGAAAGATGGATACATTCGGGGCGGGCGGTGGGCACGGCCTTAAGGCACAGGGTAGATGCCTGCATCCCACAGCAGCGTGCACGGCTCTGGCCCCCAGCTCCGGCTCCTGACTTGAGCTTCCTGTGAATGCTCACCCAGCAGCAGTGACTTAATACTTGGGTCCCTGCCAGCCACGGAGGAGACTCAGATTAAGGTCTCAGATCTTGGCTTGGGCTCAGCCCCGGCTCATGCAGTTGTGGACATTTGGGGAGTGAACCCACGCTCTCTGTCTTAAATAAATAAAAATTTTTAAATAGATGTACGTGTATTAGACAGCAATAACAGCTGAAGAGAGAAATGAGGCTGAGAAATGAGGGAGAAAAGACACAAAGAGAAGCCGGGGTGGGGGGCGGCGGAGGGGTGATGGGGCTCATTAGAAGGTGATGCCAGACTTCCAATCTAATGCAGGTGAGAGTGAGCCATGCAGGGGGAAGGGCATTTGAAAGAAGGGAACAGCAGCTGCAAAGGCAGAGACAAGGCGGTGGCTGGTGAGTGCTAGGAGTGACAGGGAGGCCAGCCTGGCGGGGGCAGAGTGACTGAGAGAGCAGCAGGGAGTGAGCTGGGCAGTGAGGCGAAGCAGCCAGGCCTTCGTGTTGGCGTGCTGTCTGTTCTGAGTAGACGGGATGCCGGCGCAGGCTTTGGGGCATGCTGACTTTTGAGCAGTGCCACGCAGGCTGATGTGTTGAGAGCAGCACACGTTTAGGAGGCTTCTAATGACCCCAGTGAGAAGCGCTGGTGGCTCAGATGGAGGAGCGAGGGAGGGGAGGGCACTCCCATTCTGGATGTATTCTGGAGTCAATCAACAGGATTTGCCGGCAGATTGGAGGTGGGAGGTGAGCAAAAGAGGGGAGCCGGGAGTGATATCCAGGTTTTTGGTCTGAGCATCTGGAAAAACGTAATTGCCATTTGCTGAGATGACTGGAGGAAGAGGTTTGGGAGGGCCATCAGGAGCTGGGTGTTGGCCTTGTGCCGTGGAGATGCCCAGTAGAGGGCTCGGTGGACAACAGCCAGATCAGTGAGGAATTGTGGGGTTGGGAGAGGCGGGGGAGAGCCTCTGGAAACACAACTATGGACGTCCTTAGGGTATGGACGCTGCTCCCCGAGCCACAAAGGTGGGTGAGATCAAGGGAGTGAAAGTAGCTTAAGAAGAGAGGCCTAAGAACCACGCCCAGGCCGCACCAACATCCAGTCCCCGAGAGAAGGAAGCAGCAGGAGACCAAGGGAGAGGGTGACAGGAAGAAACCCAGCAGCGAGTATCAAGGAAGAGAGAAACTTGCGCTGTGGGTCACGTAACAAGAGGACTGAAACTTCACCAGCGGATAAAAATAAGAAATGCTTCATTAAATGGTTCTCTTGGGGTGGGCTCTGAGGCCCAGAGGGTTAGGCTCCCATACTGTAGGGTGGGTTCCAGTCTCGACTGCTCCGCTTCCAATGCAGCACCCTGCTAATGCACCTGGAAGGGAGTGGATAACTGCCCAAGTGCTTGGGCCTCTGCCACCCATGTGGGAGACCCGGATGGAATTTCAGGTTTCTCGCTTCTTCCTGGCCCAGGGAAGGAACCAGTGGATGGAAGAGTGTCTCTCTGTCTCTCCCTCTCTCCCTCTGTATGTCACTCTGCCTTTTAAGTTGATAAAAAAGTGAAAATGTTTAAACATTAAAATTGTTCATGGTTCTTTTGCTTAGACTTCTCAAGCAATTGCGAGCTTGGGAGGCACAGGGATTGTGTTCCAAATCCTGTACCCTACCCCCCCCACCCCCGTTCCTTACCCCCACATACCCCAGCTTTGCTAGGGACTGAGGGTCAGCTTACCAATTAGGGACCCTTGGACTCCAGCCGAGCAGCCGAACAATCTCTTAGGCAAGTCATTGCCTCCCAGGTCCAGCGGAAGGAGTACACGGCCAGCTCCCCCTTAAAGAGAGGTTGGAAGGGACCACGTGAGGGCGGCGAGGGGGAGGTGCAGACATCTGCAGGCATCGGCGATTTACGAAGACGCATTTCACTTTTTACGGTGCCCGTGGTGCACAGGGAAAGAACAAGTCTTGGGGCTGCAGGGCTGCTGGTGTGGGTGGCTTGGGAGCTGTGTCTGGTGGGATCCATGCTGCCACCCACTCCGGGGTGGGGGTGATGGCAGGATTCCTCTGCTCTGGCAGGTGTCAGAGCCTGGGAACTGGGAGAAAGAGGGCTGGCAAAGAATCCCAGGGGTTCCGCTAGGCCCAGGGACCTGTTTTGGGAGCAGTGACACTGAACATGAAGTTCTTAACATTTCAGTCAAGTGTAGAATAGGGACCAGCAAGGCGTCTGCACCGCTCGCCCGTGTGTTCACCCGCTGAACGCACCCAGACAGCCCACATTCTCCGAGCCCCTCGCGTCCCCCTCCCAGCCACCACTCTGCTCCAGGGCAGCCGCTGCCCTGACTGCGAACCGCAGGGACTAGTTTTGCCTGTTTTGGGGCCTTCTGTGAATGAGGCTTGCCTTGCAGCGTCTGTCACTCAGCCTGTGAGATCATGCACGCTGTCACGTACAGGCGCAGCCCCTCACTTCTTGCTCCTCCACCATCCGATGATGCTACAACACGCTAGTCCCTTCTACTGGCGATGGACGTGGGAGCTGCCTCCATATGAAGACCATCGCTAACAGTGCCGTCCCAAGCACATCCAGACATGCCTAATGCTTGCTTTTTGCTCCCAACAGTTTATTTCGAAGTTTTTCAACCACTTAGAAAAAATGAGGGCATTGCACAGAGAACGTCTGGTCTGCCTTGGAGCCACTCATGTTCTAACAAATGTTTAATATATCGGCCTCCTCAATGATCTGTCCTCTCCACACATCCATCAATCCATCTTTTTCAAATAGATTTCAGAGTAAGTTGTACACAGCAATGGCTTTACCCCTAAATACTTCAGTATCACTGATGAAAGTTCAATATTTATGAGTTTTTCTTAGAGCAAAAACTTCTCCAAAATGAAATGCATGTATGTTCACTATATCATTTAATGAGGGGCCGGCGCTGTGGCGTAGTGAGTAAAGCGGCCATCTGCGGTGCCGCCATCCCATATGGGTGCTGGAAGAAGCTCCTGGCTCCTGGCTTTGGATCCGTACAGCTCCGGCCATCACGGCCAACTGGGGAGTGAACCAGCAGATAGAAGACTGACCTCCCTCCCTCTCTCTCTCTCTCTCTCTCTCACTGTAACCTCTCTCTGTAATTTTGCCTTTCAAATAAATGAATACTTTTTTTTTAAAAGTAAATTGTCTCAAAAAATCATTTAATGAGTTTAAGAAATTTGGGGGTGGTATCGTGGCACAGTAGGTTAAGCCACCACCTGTGACACTGGCATCAAATATGAGTGCCTGCTTGAGTTCTGGCTGCTCCACTTCTGATCCAGCTCCCTGTCTAGAAAAGCAGCAGGTGATGGCCAGAGACCGTGGGCCCTGCTGCTCATGTGAGAGATCTGGACAGAGTTCCAGGCTCTGGGCTTTGGCCTGGCCTAGCTCTGATCCTTGTAGTCATCTGGGGGTGAATCAGTGGGTAGAAGATCTCTCTCTCTCTCTCTCTCTCCCTCCCTCCATCCGTCCCTCTCTCTCTCTAACCCTGCTTTTCAAAAAAATAAACCTGAAAGAAAGTGAGAGAGAGAGAGAGAGAAAGCAAGAGAAAGAAAAAGAAAGAAAGAAAACCATGATGAGGACCCACTGTATCTACCAGAATAGCTTCAATTAAACACCCACTGTTGGCAAGGATGGTGAGCAGTACTCTCTTGGCTACATTGTTCTCATCAGGGTTTTCATTTGCATTTCCCTGACAACTAATGGAGTTGAAAATCTTTTTGAGTACTTCTTGGCCACTCATATGGAAGCTTTTGAGTTTTAACGTTTACACTTAGGTCTACAATCCATCTCAAATTAATTTTTTGTGGATAGTATAAGGTAAAGGTTGAGGGTGGGATTTTCAAATATTTGAAAGCACTTGTTCCTGTACCATTTGTTGAAAATACTTTTCATGTTGTCATCTTTGTCCAACACTGAATGATCACATAAATGTATTTGTGCTCTGTGTTCTGTCCCATGAGCCGGCTTTTTGATCTTTATGATAAAACCAGACTGCCTTGATTCCCATAGCTTACCAGCCTTGCAGTCAGCGAGGGTGAGGCTCTTCACTTCTTGCAGGATTGCTTTAGACAGCCTTGGTCTTCCACATGAAGTCTAGAATCTGCTTATCATTTTTTTCTTTTTTATATTAAACCTTTTATTTATTTTTATTTATTTGAAAGGTGGAGAGACAGATAAAGATATTCCATCCACTGGTTCACTCCCCAAATGCCTGCAGTACCTGGGACCTGGCCAGGCTGAAACCAAGACCCTGAAATTCAACGTGGGTCTCCCATGTGGGCTGCAAGGACCCAACTACCCGGGTCATCACCTTCTGCCTCCCAGGATGCGGTTAGCAGGAAGCTGGATTTGGGGGCAGAGCTGGGACTCAAACCCCAGGTACTCCAGTGTGGGAGGCAGGTGCCCCCAGCACGTGCTACTGGAGGATTGTTAAAACTATGAGAGCAGACTTGTGTGCTTCTCCCTTTAATCTCCTCATCCTGCCAGGTTTCGCTTCATGTATTTTGAAACTCTGTTATTAGGTGTAGACACATCCATGATACTTTCCTGGTGATATTTATGGTCACAACATTTCCCTTTTGCTCTCTGGTAACGGCTCTGTCCTGAAGTCTACTTGGATGGGCACCCACCTGCCACTGCAGCTCTCCCATGCGTACGGGCTGCATGGCTTTCCTTTCCACCTGTTTCCTGCAGCAGCTCTGACGTGTCTCTTGCTGCAGAGTACGGATACGCCATGCTTCTTAACCATTCTGGCAATGTATGTCTTCCAACTGAAGTGCTTCGGGCCATTACCTTTGAGGCAATTCCCAGCGTGGTTAGCGCTGAGCCCAGCGTTCCACTATTTCTTTTCTGTTTGTTCCCTGGGTTCTGCTGCTGCTCCTCTGTGGCCCCTCTCATCTGTGTTGGGGGGAATTGGATATTTTTTTAGAAATCACTTTCATCTATCTGTTAGCCTTGAAAATGTGTTAAATTTACATTTCTTTGCATTTTAAGTGGTCACTGTAGAAATTATAATATCTATCAGTGATGGTTCATAGTCCATTTAGAATTTATATTGTATACTTTAAAATATGTATCATGTATTATAGCTATATAAACTATGAACCTCACAATGCAAGGTTAAAGTTCTTCTTTAAACATTCATAGAATTCTAAACAAAGAGGCAAATTACTTTCTATATTTGCTTAGATTTTTCAATTTGAAAGCCCACGTTGGAGTGCTTGGGTTTGATGCCGGCTCTGGCTCCCGACTCCAGCTTCCTGCTAATGTGGACCCTGGGAGGCAGCAGTGATGGATCAAATGGTTGGGCTCCGGCCACCCACAGCGGGGCCCGAGATTGAGTTTCAAACTCCTGGCTTCTCTTTCAAATAAATAAAAACTTTTTTTTTTTTTTTTTGAAGGGGAGAAAGCACACTTGCCTCAAGTACAAAATTAAGGGGGTACGAGAACTCAGCAATCAAGATAAATACTATTTTAACACAATATACTTTTTTTTTTTTTTTTTTTTTTTTTTTTTTTTTGACAGGCAGAGTGGACAGTGAGAGAGAGACAGAGAGAGAAAGGTCTTCCTTTTGCCGTTGGTTCACCCTCCAATGGCCGCCGCTGCAGCCGGCGCACCGCGCTGATCCTGGCAGGAGCCAGGAGCCAGGTGCTTTTCCTGGTCTCCCATGGGGTGCAGGGCCCAAGCACCTGGGCCATCCTCCACTGCACTCCCTGGCCATAGCAGAGAGCTGGCCTGGAAGAGGGGCGACCGGGACAGAATCCGGCGCCCCACACAATATACTTTTTAAAAACAAAGTGTAAAAAGTCAGCAGTGAACAAAATGCTAAACTTTTACATAAGACACACTGACTGCACTGTACAACCCACACCGCCTGCCGCCCCCTCATCTCAGCCCTCTTGGATCCTGCCTTTAATTGAAACGTTGGTGTCTTCCTCATTGCAGAGGTAGTTTTGCTTTTGAAAAATATTGCATAAAATGGCATTTATCTTGATTATGGGGGTTCTTGCCACTCCCTTATATTTTGGACTTGTGTCACCCTAGTCCCAGCCAGGGGCAGCAGCGTAGGCCTCTGATATCTTCCCTGGGAGTGTGTTGTGCTCCAGGGGCTTAAATTGCTGCTAGGGATGCCTGCATCCCTTAGAGTTGGGATTGAGACCTGCCTCTGCTTCTGACCCCGCTCCCTGCTAATGTACCTGGGAGGCAGTAATGACCCAAGTACTTCGGTCCCTGCCACCCACAGAGACCCAGATGGAGTTCCCGGCTCCTGGCTTCATACTGGCCCAGCCCTGACTGTTATGGGCATTTGGGAAGTGAACCAGTAGATGAAGGAGATCTTTCTCTCTCTCTCTCTCTCTCTCTCTCTCTCTCTCTTTCTCCCTATCCCTCTCCCTCTCCCTCTCCTCCCTCTCCTGACCCCCCCACTCTGTTTTAAATGTTGTTGTTGTTGTTGTTTTTTAAATCTTCTTTGCAGTGCCAGTGCTGTGGCATAGTTAAAAGTTAACTGGCCTGCAGCACTGGCCTCCCATATGGGCACTGGTTTGAGTCCTGGGTGCTCCATTTCCAGTCCAGCTCCCTGCTAATGTTCCTGGGAAAGCAGAAGAAGATGGCCCAAGCACTTGACCCCTATACCCACGTGGGAGACCCAGAAAAAACTCCTGGCTCCTGGCTTCGGATTGGCTCAGTTCTGGCAGTTGCGACCATTTGGGGAGTGAACCAGTGGAAGCGAGACCTCTCTCTCTGTCTCTTCCTCTCTCTGTAACTCTTTCAAATAAAAAAAATAGATCTTAAAAAAAAAAAAAACTTGGCTACATCGCCATTCCGAACAAAAGAAATCCTGTCAGCATACTTTTTGATAACATAAAAATATATTTTTGATACATAAAAGTATAAAGCTGTCACCTTCCTGGTGACAGCCAAGGGAGGGATTTGGTAAGTTCTTGGCACAGTTAATTTAGCAGTTTTATAAATAGGAACTCTAACAGACTTCTGGATCCCAAAGTCAAAATTCATTCACTAACGCCCCAACTTTCCTTGTTTCAACATAAGAGACTAAGAACAAGGTTATGAAACACACACATACAAAAGTACATTTTGTTGTTTGTCACAATGCACACTGATGTATTTATTTTGTGTTTAAGGCTTCAGATGGCTCCAGTGATTAAATCTCAGATCTGATCCTTTGTGGCAAGAAAGGTCCCAGGGTGCTATTCAAAAAATATTTAAATATGAGGCCGGCACTGTGGCACAGTGCTGCCGCCTGTGATGCCGGCATCCCATATGGGTGCCGGTTCGATTCCTGGCTGCTCCACTTCCGATCCAGCTCTCTGCTATGGCCTGGGAAAGCAGTGGAGGATGGCCCGAGTCCTTGGGCTCCTGCACCCACATGGGAGACCCAGAGGAAGCTCCTTGCTCCTGGCCTTGGATAGGCCCAGCTCTGGCCATTGTGGCCATTTGGGGAGTAAACCAGGTGATAGAAGATCTCCCTCTCTTTGTAACCCTGTCTTCCAAATAAATAAACCCTTAAAAATATTCAATTTTAAAGAAAAAGGTTATTGAGAAGTCAAAAAATTTCAAATAAAATAAATCTTTAAAACAAAACAAAAATATTCTATCTCTTTTTTCCAATCCCACCTGCATGTCCAAAGAGGCAACACAGAGTGACAGTGAGAACCCCAGACTGAGAATCGCAGGCTCAGGACGTGTGATGCACTTCCATCTGAGCAGGTCCCCAGCTGGCGCCACAGTTTGCCTGAAACGCGGTGCCAGTGTCTCTCTGTCAACCTCCTTTTCTCATGCAAAATGATTATAGGCCATCTTACGTATCCTGTTTCTGAAATGATAAAAGTTAATTCCAAAAACAATTATTTATAAAGAACATTTTGAAAGAGACAGGAATACATAGAACCTGATTATATTTCTTTTTATCTTTTAAAATTTATTTGAAAGGCAGAGAGACAGAGATAAAGATCTTCCATCCCCTGGTTCACTCCCCAAAGGCCCCCAACAGCCTGCGCTGGGCCAGACTGGCCAGGAGCCATGAACTTGATATGAGTCTTCCACAAAGGTGGCAGGGAGCCAAGAAGCCATCATTATTGTCTCCCAGGGGTGCACATCAGCAGGAAGCTGGAATTGGGAGTGGAACTTAGACTTGAACCTAGCTACTCCTAAATGGGATATGAGCATCCCAAGGGGTGTTTTAACCACTAAGCCAAATGCTTGCCTCCAGATTTTATTTTTATTTTTTATGTTTATTTATTTATTTGAAAGGCAGAGTTACAGAGAGACAGAGGCAGAAAGAGAGAGAGAGAGGTCTTCCATCTGTTGGTTCACTCCCCAGATGGCTGCAACGGCCAGAGCTGAGCCAGATGCAGGGACCCAAGCACCTAGGTCATCTTCTGCTACTTTTCCAGGCCATAGCAGGGAGCTGGTTTGGAAGAGGAGCAGCCTGGACTCAAATCCGCGCCATACGGGATGCCAGCACCATAAGTGGAGGCCTAGCCTACTACACCACAGTGCCAGCCCCGGTTTTTATTTTTCATTTTATTAAAGATGTATTTATTTATTTGAATATCAGACTTACAGGGAGAGAGAGAGAGAGGGAAAGAGAGAGAGACAGAGAGAGAGAGATAGAATCTTCCATCCACTGGTTCACTCCCCAGATGGCCACAATGGTCAGAGCTGGGCCAGGTTGAAGCCAGGAATTTCATCTGGGTCTCCCACATGGATGGCAGGGACCCAAGCACCCAGACCACCTTTTACAGCTTTGCTTTTCCTAGGCCATGAGCAGGAACCTGAATTGGAAGTGGAGCAGCTGGGACTTAAACAGGTGCCAATATGAGATAGTGCCATTGCAGGTGGCTTTACCAGCTATGCCACAATGCCAGCCCCTAAAAAAAAAACTGTTTTTCAAAAGAGGCAGGAATCTGGGGCAGTTGTAAAGTCACCACTTGGGATGCCCATACCCCATACTGAAATGCCTGGTTCGAGTCCCAGCTACTCTGCTTTGGATCCAGCTTCCTGCTAATGCACACCCTGGGAGCAGCAGGTGATGATTTAAGAACTTGGGTCCCTGCCACCCACATGGGAGACCCAGATGGAGGTTCTGGCTCCTGGCTTTGGACTGGCCTAGCCCCAGCTGTTGAGGACATTTGAGGGAAGAAACCAACTGATGGAAGATCTCTCTTCACTGTCTCTCTGTCTCTGTGTCTCTCTACTTCTCAAACAAAAATAAAAATTTTAAATGTATTTTTAAAGTTTGAAAAAGGACAAAGAAACACTCAAGGGTCTTCTGTCAAGGCCAGGCATGACGGGGATGTCGCTGTTCGCGCACGCAGAGGTGAGGTGGCCTCCAGTGGTCCACACCACTCTAAGCTGCCCAAGGTGGCACCTCCTGGCCACTGCTAGGAAATCTGACATTAACCCAGGCTTTGCAGCTACTTCTGACCTGCAGCCAGCCTCTGGAAGTGGTCTCCAGCTGGTCAGGAGACATCTCCGTGGCTCCTTCGCGAGGTCCCAGGCCAAGGCATGCCATGACCCGCCCTCGCTCCTCAAAATGAGTGCTCCTTCTGCTGAGCTGACCCGGGAGCCTCTCCTCCACCCCAGCCCGTTCCTTCCAGATCAGAGTGGTCCTGGCCAGAAAGCCAGGTGCAAAATCCTCCACGCATCCAAGAGCATCTCACCGCGGCAGAGTTCAACACACGCCTTGGCCTTGGCGCTGACCTGGGCAGCACGCCCCCTCGCACCGGCCCCTCCGTGCCAAGTGCCAAGGCGCACACCTGGACCCCGTCCTCTGGGAGGGAGAAGAGGCGGGTGAGCGCTGCCCCGATCAGGGAGCAGAGAACGCCCAGGGTGAACACTTCGGTGCTTCGGCCTTCAGAACTCATTAAACAGGAACTCTGTGAACTCCTCCCGGTGCCAGCCCAGCCTGGGGAGCACCATCCGACTTGCAGTCAGCGGCGAGAGGAGGTGGAGAGGGCAGCAGGCCCTGGGGCTTCAAAGAGGAGGAGCGGGCCAGGGAGGCTCAGGAAGAGAGAATCCATCACAGAGACCGCATCAAGGACGCCGCAGGTCTTTCTAGTTCCCGGGAAAGCGGCTGCTAGACTGTGCCAGGCTCGCAGCCCAGCTGGCCTCCTCCTGGGGAACCGGACTTGTCTAGGTCCCCTGTGCTGAGGACAGGTCAGCCTCCCACCGATCACTATTCAGAGGACAAGGTTCTGGGACTTCCCGCGAACCTGAGCGCGGCCGTGGGAATCAACACAGCCCCAGCACGCGCAGGCTCTTCTCTGCCAACCTTTTCCTAGTATTTACCAAGTGCAGACAGCAACTCCGGGAATGCCCCATCACCCTGTGTGCCCGGTCCCATTATTATCCCAGTTTGACAGCTATGGCAACCAAGGCACAGAGAGGTTAAGGAACACGCCCAGTGTCACTGACCTGGTAAATAATACAGCCAGGATTTGAACCCAGGCCCAGCGGGCTTGAGTCCATGCTTTGACCCGTTTCTTAAGCGAGGCCTCCCAGCTTGCTCTACCTCTGCTTCTCAACAACCCGACCTTGAGAAATCATGAACAGCCAGGGGACAGGCTGTGCAACGGTGCTGGTCAGATTGGGAAAAGGCACGGGCAGTGCCACCTGGCGCACGTACATTCTGCACCCCACCCTTCACTCATCCTCGGCTTCAGCCTTCCCTGTGCGGAATCAGGGGCCCATTCTTTGAAGGGGGGAAATCACAGGAGCACAGTTCATGCAGTGCAAGCTGACCAGGGAAACGTGCGGAGGGGGATTCGAGCTCGGCCGAGCGGTGCTGACGTCAGAAGCAGGGTGGGCGCAAGAGAGGATGATTCTGGCACATAGAGGTGAGAGGGCCAGGGCTCCAGGCAGCTCTCCTGGCCACTCCCCGCACGGCAGGTCGGGGCCTTCCGTCCTGCAGATCCAAGCCTGCACATAGCACCCCTCTTTTTAGCATTTCCCCCACGAGGCTGACGATTCCTGTTGGCTTCTGACTAATTTTTGTAACCCCAGTGCTAGGCAAAGACTCAATAAACGCAAAAGCCTCCAAGGTGGAGAAGCACAGGTGTCCTGGGTGGGGAGTGAGTAGGTAGGTTCACCTGCGTAGAGAGGACAGAGCCCGGGCTTCTCACACCCCAACACGCATCAGAATCACTGCGGCTCTTGTGAACACCAAAGTCCTGATTGAGTAGATATGGGCGAGGCCCGACATTCTTATTCCAACAAGTTCACCTGTAAGGCCACTACTCCTGGTCCCTGGACCCCACTTTGAGAAGCTAGTGGCTCCCTGCCCCCTGCCCAGCACACAGCACGCATGCTTCGTCCCACGCCAGGACTCCCATCCTCCAGCCTCAGCCGCTCCTGACGCTGCTCCCGCAGCCTTTGCCAGCCTCTGCTCCCACTTTTCCTCCTCCTGTGCAGCCCCCGGTTGCAGGACAACCTACCTGACAGCTGCAGTTCCCCCACGGCGTGGCCTGCGGATCGCTGGGGTGGGGGCTTGGTGAGCAGACTCCTGTAGTCAAGGATCACAGCCGGCATTATCTCCAAGAAGCTCAGGGCTTGTCTGCAGCTCTGAGAACTCCCGCAGAACTGTGTCTGAGTTGGGGCAGGTGGGGCAAGGGAGAGACTTAGTGCCTCTCATCTCCATCAGCACCTGCAGCAGCTGAGGTCTAAGTCAAGGACAGGGTTTGCCGCCCTCCGCTCACAGAGACTGCTGCCCTCAGACTCTGGGGGTAGGGGTGGAGCCTCCTGAGCGGCCCCTCTGTAATCCAGGGAGGGGTAGTAAGAGAAGCGACACCCTCTTCCCCACCCAGTGAGGCTCTTCTCTTCAGAACCTTGGTCCCCAGCATCCTTTCCCTGTCCTTAAAGACACTTGCCTCTTTCTGGGCAGGAAACTGTAAAAGGGGAGATGGAGCCTCCCGCCCCAGAGGCCGAGTGTCCCCCACGCATGTTCTCTGCCCCTAGGACCCTGGGGGACTGGGCATGACCACAGGGACATTTCACAGCCTGGTGCCCTGGGCAGGGGCTGCACCTCCCCAGCCTCGGAGCCCAGCTTGGCTCCCCTATGCCAGGGAGCCGACAGCTGCCTACCTCGCAGGGCCCTGGGCGCCTCCTTCCGCCCCCCTGTCTCGCTGCAAATCCCTGCTTGCTCTTTCGCTTTTCAGGGAAACCTCCTGAGTGCACCTTCTATCAGGACTCAGACTGAGCCAAAGGATTTCCTCTTTACCAGGTACCCCGTTTGGCCTAAGCCAGGGATTTAAGCTTTAATCATAGACGCTGAGATGCCGGAGAGCCAGAGAGGCAAGGCTTTCTGTAGGGGGAGGGGAGGCAGCAATCCCAGGCCCTGGGCGGGTTTCTCATTCATTTAATTCCCTCCACCACTAACTCCTCCGCAGACTCAGAAACCACCGGGTGCCAGACTCAGCGCTCAGCCCTGTGGGGACCGAAGACCATGAGGAGTGGGCCACAGCCTCCGTGGCAGGCCTGTGGGCCTAGGGCAGGCTGAGGGCCCTGGGATGGCACTGAAAGTGACAGGCGCGAGATAAGGGCCTGATGAGAATGCAGACAGAACAGCCTGAGAGCCGCAGCCTGGCCTTGCTCCAACACTGGGGACCCGGGAGGACCTTGGTGTAGGGCTGAGGTCACACAGCACCCTCAGTGCAGAAGCCAGGGCAGCCCCTCCCTCTGGCTCCTCCCTGGGACTCCTCCCTCGGGCCCATCACCTCCAAAACCCCCACCCCCACCCCAAGGGTCTTCCTGGCTCCGCCCTGTGCTGGGGCTTTGCTCACAGGAGCTCTGTCCACCCTCCCAACCGCCCTTGGACTAGGCTCATTGCTCTCATTTCATAGCTAAGTAAACCCAGGCTCAGGTCCCCGACTTGTCCCAGGTGCCATCAGCAGACACTGCAGGCATCCTACCTGCCCGCTTCCCAAAGGCACAGCCCTGCCTTTGACCTTTCACAGGAACAGCGTTGTGTACAGACCACCAGGGAGGTGTGAGGCAGCATCTCATTTAACCCTCACAATGGCCCGGAGGGGGTGCCCGGCTGGAATGTCCCCACTTCACAGAGGAAGAAGCTGACACCACGAGGGGACCTCACTCTTTGAAGGGCCCAGAGCTGAGGTGTGGGGAAGCCAGAGTTTGAACCCGGGAGACCAACTGAGTTTATGCCCCTAACCCCCTAGGACCTATATTATTATTTTCTTTAAGTGGGCTCCTTGGTAGAACCCTTGTAGGTTTATAGAAAAAATACAGCTTCCATATACCCTATGCCCAGTTTCAGGACTAGCTCTATCTTTTGTTAGTCTGATAAACTTGTTACAACTCATTGAATGTATCAATATCGATACATTGTTACTAACGGAAGCCCACAGCTTATGCCACTTCCTCAGTTTACCAATGTCTTCTCTGTGTTCCAGGATCCCGCATTTCCCTGAGTACCCTATCTGCTTAAGGATCCTCTGGGCTGTGCCAGTTCCTCAGAATTTTCTTATTTTTGATGACTCAACTTTTTACAAAATTGTGGTAAGCTATAATGTAAGATTTTCAATCCTTGCTTTTTAAAATTTATTTTATTTGCTTGAAAGGCACAGAGAGGGGGTCGGTGCTGTGGCACAGCAGGTAAAGGTGCCGCCTGCAGAACCGGCATCCCATATGGGCACTGGTTTGGGTCCCGGCTGCTCTACTTTCAATCCAGCTCTCTGCTATGGCCTGGGAAAGCAGTGGAAGGTGGCCCAAGTGCTTGGGCCCCTGCATCGATGTGGGAGACCCAGAGGAAGTTCCTGGCTCCTGCTCCGGATCGGCCATTGCGGCCAACTGGGGAGTGAACCAGTGGATGGAAGACACCTCTCCTCTCTCTGCCTCTGCCTCTGCCTCTCTGTGATTCTTTCAGGTAAATAAATAAACTCTCAAAAAGAAAGAAAGAAAGAAAGACACGGAGAGAGGGAGAGAGGGAGAGAGGGGGAGGGAGAGAGGAGGAGTGAGGAGAAGAGAGGGGGAGTGAGGGGGAGAGAGAGAGATATCATCTGCTGGCTCAAAAATGCCCACAACAGCCAGGACTAAGCCAGTCCAAAGCCAGAAGCCCAGAACTCAGTCTGGGCCTCCCGTGTGGGTGGGAGAGACCCAACCATTTGAGCCATCAGCCTGCTGCCTCCTAGGGTCTGCACAAGTAGAAAAGTGGAATCCAGAGCAGAGCTGGGACTCGAACCCAGGCATTTCCCATGAGCTTCATGAAGCCCCCGTCCTGCCCCACGTTTTCCCCCTTTTTCGCTGAGCAGTGTTTGCTGGAACACATCTACTGTAACTTGACGACCTGTTCCCTTGCGGATGTACATGTGAGCTGTTACCAGTTTAGGCTCCTGTGACTAAAGTTGTCGCACACATTCTTGTGCACGGGTGTTTGGTGGGCAGATGTTCTCGTTTCTCTTAAGTAAAGAGTTTTTCGTACATTTCCATATCGACCACCACCTTGTTCACACTCAAAAAATGTTTGCTGTGGAGGAGGGCATTTGGCACAGCGGTGAAGATGCCACATGGGACACCCACGTCCTGTAACAGAGAGCCTGGACTTGAGTTCTGGCTCCACTCCTGAGCCCAGCTTCCTGCTAATGCATGCCTGGGAGAGCGGGTGATGGCTCAGGTACTAGGTCACTGCCACCCACATGGGGGACCTGGATTAAGCTCTGGGTTCCTGGCTTCAGCCTGGCCCATCATTGGCCATCAGCCAATTGGCAGGTGTTTGAGGAGTGAACCAGTGCATAGAAGATCTCTCTCTCTCTCTCTCTCCCTTTAAAATAAATAAATATTTAAAAAAGACTTTGATAAAACAGAGTCACAGAACTAAGAGCTATGGAGTAGCAATACTCACCTCAAACACTGAAGTGCTACAGCTTCCAAAGCCGCCTGTGACCCCAACGGCAAAGGCAGAGGAAGAGAAAGGACGTCCAAGGAGACACTGCTTCAGTTAAGAGCACTGAGACAGGACGACTTTGAACGAGAGCCAGAACGTGGGAACAAGCAGGTGGCTCCTCCTGTGGGGACAGACACTTCTCTCCCACACGCTGGCTGGACAGGGAGTCCTGGCGGGCGTCCCTGCTGTGTACAAACCAGGGACTCTGATGGTGGGGGGATAGGGGTGGGCGGGGGGAGGTTGAGCGACAGCAAAGGTTATGATGGTCGTGGTTTATCAGTGAGATTTTTCATGATGTTTGGTAGGAGGGTACTTCAAAACTGTGGAATTAAAAGAGAAATCTGTCTTTGTGCCAAAAAAGTTGAAATCCAAACTTGTTTTATAATATGTGTTTTCCATAATTTTTTTTTTTTTTTTTATAGAGGCAGGGAGAGAAAGCCAGACAGAGCTCCCATTTGCTGGCCCATTCCCCAGATGCCAGCAACAGCCAGAGCTGGGCCACTGCTGAACCAGGAGTCTGTAATTCAACCCAGCTCTCCCATGTGGATGGCAGGAACCTGAGGCATCATGGCTGTTTCCACGGTTTGCACTGGCAGGAAGCTGGAGTCAGGAGCCGGAGCTGGGAATCAAACTCAGGTACTGGGACATAGGACACAGGTATCCTGGCTGCTACGAAGGCAAATGTCAGCTCCATCTGAACTCCGGAGGGTTCTTGTATCCTGTCTGGGAACAGCATTAACACCCTTTCTCTCTGCCTCCCCACTGCTACTCCTGAATTGCTGCCCTGAGGGAGGGGTGCACCCTGGCCAGGGAAAACCCGGAGCAGGAGGTGATCCAGCCTTGGTTTCCCCTGGGCTCTGGAAGATGCCTGTGTGCAGTCAGAAACTGGGGTTTTAGGGGCCAGCACTGTGGTGTAGCAGGTTAACACCCTGGCCTGAAGCGCCAGTATCCCATATGGGTGCCAGTTTGGGACCCGGCTGCCCCACTTCCGATCCAGCTCTCTGCTATGGCCTGGGAAAGCAATGGAGGATGGCAAGTCCTTGGCCCCTGCACCCACATGGGAGTCATGGAAGAAGCTCCTGGCTCCTGGCTTCAGATCGGCACAGCTCCAGCTGTTGCGGCCAACTGGGGAGTGAACCATCGGATGGAAGACCTCTCTCTCTCTCTCTCTGCATAATTCTAACTTGCAAATAAATAAATAAGTCTTAAAAGAAAGGAAGGAAGGAAGGAAGGAAGGAAGGAAGGAAGGAAGGAAGGAAGGAAGGAAGGAAGGAAGGAAGGGCTGGTGCCGCGGCTCCCTAGGCTAATCCTCCACCCGCGGCACTGATACCCCGGGTTCTAGTCCCAGTTGGGGCACCAGATTCTGTCCTGGTTGCTCCTCTTCCAGTCCAGCTCTCTGCTGTGGCCTGGGAAGGCAGTGGAGGATGGCCCAAGTGCTTGGGCCCTGCACCCGCATGGGAGACCAGGAGGAAGCACCTGGCTCCTGGCTTCGGATCAGCGTGGTGTGCCAGCCGTAGCGGCCATTTGGGGGGTGAACCAACGGAAGGAAGACCTTTCTCTCTGTCTCTCTCTCTCCCTAACTCTGCCTGTCAAAAAATAAATAAATAAATAAGAAAGAAGGGAAGGAGGGAGGGAAGGAAGGAAGGCAGGAAGGAAGAAACCAACCCTGGGGTTTTACCACAGATGTAGCCGTGTGTGCTTTTGTCTCCAAAGGTCCTTTCAGCTCTGAAATATTATGACACAACAACGATGACGCTTTTTTTTTTTTAATTTGACAGATAGAGTTAGACAGTGAGAGAGAGACAGAGAGAAAGGTCTTCCCTCCTTTGGTTCACTCCCCAAATGGCTGCCACAGCCGGAACTATGCCGATCCGAAGCCAGGAGCCAGGTGCTTCCTCCTGGTCTCCCATGCGGTGCAGGGGCCCAAGCACTTGGGCCATCCTCCACTGCCTTCCTGGGCCACAGCAGAGAGCTGGACTGGAAGAGGAGCAACCGGGACTAGAACCCAGAGCCCATATGGGATGCCGGCACAGCAGGTGGAGGGTTAACCAAGTGAGCCACGGCGCCGGCTCCAATGCCTCTTTCTTCAGTACTTGTTTTTTCTCCTTACAAAGGTATGTGTTCACCATAGAAAGTTAGGTAGATCAATAACGGTGCAGGAAACACAATACAAAATCACTCACGATTTTGCAACCCAGTGCTCTCTCTTGTTGACGTTCACTCATTCATTTAACAAACATTTGAGTGCCTGCCATGGACAGAGTTTGAAACATATCATGTTAGGCTATTTCGGCTTCTTTTTTTTTATATATATTTTTTTTTGACAGGCAGAGTGGACAGTGAGAGAGAGAGACAGAGAGAGAAAGGTCTTCCTTTGCCGTTGGTTCACTCTCCAATGGCCGCCGCTGCAGCCGGCGCACCGCGCTGATCCTATGGCAGGAGCCAGGAGCCAGGTGCTTTTCCTGGTCTCCCATGGGGTGCAGGGCCCAAGCACCTGGGCCATCCTCCACTGCACTCCCTGGCCACAGCAGAGAGCTGGCCTGGAAGAGGGGCAACCGGGATAGAATCCGGCGCCCCGACCGGGACTAGAACCCGGTGTGCCGGCGCCGCAAGGTGGAGGATTATATTTCGGCTTCTATTTTAACAAGATCATTCTGCTCTGTAACCTGCCTTTCCCTTAATAGACAATTGTGAGTGTGTTCTCTTGGTGGTAAATATTTTTCTACCAAGTTCCACTTTTTCATGTTAATACCCTCAGAGCTGCATTTTGAGCAGATTCATAACCAGCTGTTTAGGATAATTCCTGGGTTGTTTAGGACTCCTGGGTTGATCAGCAGCACACTTAGAGGCTTTTGGAGGCACTGCCAAACCAGCCCACACCCCATCCTTTCTTCCTCCCGCTCACACACACTTCAAGAAAGGTCTGGGGCTGGTGTTGGGGCACAGCAGGTTAAGCCGCCACTGGCGTCCCATGTTGGAGCACCTGTTCAAGTCCCAGCTGCTTCACTTCTGATCCAGCTCCCTGCTAATGCACCTGGGAAAGCAGCAGAAGATGGCCCAAGTATTTGGGTCCCTGACACTCAGATGGAGTTCCAGGCTCCTGGCCTCAGCCTGGTCCAGCCCCAGCCGTTGAAGCCATCTGGGGAGTGAACCTGCAGATTGCAGATCTCTTTCTCCCTCTCTCTGTGTCACTCAGCCTTTCAAATAAATCTTTAAAAATAAAATGTCTAGGGGCTGGCATTGTGGAGCAAAGGGTAAAGCCACCACCTGTGATGCCGATATCCCATATGGGCACTGGTTTGGGTCTTAGTCGCTACACTTCCAATCCAGCTCCCTGCCAATGTGCCTGGGAAAGCAGTGGAAGATGGCACAAGTGCTTTGGCCCCTGCACCCATGTGAGAGACCGGAAGCAGCTCCTGGCTCCTGGTTTTGGCCTGGGTTTCCAGCCTGGGCCATTGTGGATCAAAGATCTCTCTCTCTTCTCTGTCTCCCTCTCTCTGTAACTCTTTCAAATAAATAAATGTTTAAAACAAAAGGTCTAGAAATGTGCTGTTCATTTCAGTTCCAGCCACATGTAGTTACGTATATTTAAATTAATTTACTTATAAATGTTTTATTCATTTGAAAGGCACCGTGATAGAGATCTTCCATCTGCTGGTTCACTCCCCAAATGCCCACAATAGCCAGGGCTGGGCCAGGCCAAAGTCAGGAGCCTGGAACTTCATCTGGGTCTCCCACATGGGTGGCAGGGGCCCAAGCACTTGGTTCATCTCCTGCTCCCTCCCAGGCACATCAGCAGGAAGCACATTATCTGAAGTGCAGAGTAGCCAGGACTCTAATAGAATACAGGCATCCCAAGCAGTGGCTTAACCCACTCTCAACAGTGCCCATCTTTTTTTTTTAATTTATTTATTTGAAAAGCAGAGTGAGAGGAGAGACCTTCCATCTGCTGTTTCACTCTCCAAATGGGTACAACAGCTAGGGCTGGGCCAGGTTGAGGCCAAAAGCTGGAACTCCATCCAGTTCTCCCACATGGGTGCAGGGACCCAAGCACCTGGGCCATCTTCTGCTGCTTCCCAGGAGCATTAGCAGGAAGCTGGATCAGAAGTGGAGCAGCCTGGACTCGAACCAGCACTCCAATATGGGAATACGGGCATCTCAAACTTCGGCTTAGTCCACGGCACCACGGTGCACACCCCTTACATTTTTTTTTAAAGTGAGCCTAACTCAGGCTCTTACAAGCAGCCCTACCATGAGATCCACCCCCTGACAGCACACTCCAATGACCTCCCACTATGCTCGCCTCCTGAACACCAGCTTAGGGCTCTGGGGGTCAAACATCAGCATGAGTTTGGGAGACAAATCCTGTCCAAACTATAGCCGCTTCCCCAAAGGCTGTGCCTCACGTCCACTGGTCATCGCAGATAGGTTTGCTTATGGAGGTTCTTCACAGCCTTCAGCTTTGGTCACTGGATTTAAAGTCTAATTTTCTCCCTAGAGATAGCCATCAAAAGGGTAGTATTAAGAACCTTCAGGGGTAGGCATTTGGCCTAGCAGTTAAGGTGCTGCTTGGGATGCCCACACTGGAGTGCCTGGGTTCAAATCCTGGCTCTGCTTCTTATTCCAGCTCCCTGCTAATGTGCACCCAGAGAGGCGGCAGGCGATGGCTCAGGTAATTGGATCCTTGCAACCCATGTGGGAGATCTGCATTGAATTTCCAGCTCCTGGCTTCAGCCCAGCCCAGCATTTGGGAAGTAAACCAATGGATGGGAGCTCTGTCTCTGTGGTTCTCATATAAATAAACCTACACTTAGAAAAGAATCAGCATATATAAAATTCGCTTTCATATGCATGAGAGTTTTTTTTTTTTTAATTTGACAGGTAGAATTA